ACCACCATTGTTAATTCCCTACCACTTTGTTTGTAACTCTGTATTGTCTGTATTGTGCTTGTGATATGTTGTAAAATGTTATATGTCTGTTAATGTTTCCCTCCTTTTATCCTTAAAATAAAAAAAAAAAAAAAAAAAAGAAAGCTGCTTTTGTGTCTCCCCTTCTAGAACAGGGATTCCATGAGGCCAGTGGCCGGCATGTCCATGCCCGTGGGAGGGCAGGGCTTATCACTGAGTAGATCCTCAGTACACTGAGTGGGAAGGACGAAGGGGACCCCAGAATGGTGAGATGAAAGTGAGATGAAAATCATCAAACTGATCATATTCCTATCAGTTTAGTTAAAGCGAAGTTTCCATTAGGACAGCTTGGTATTTAGGTTACAACGAGCAGGAGTGCCGTTCTTTTCCGAGGCAAGTCCAGACTCTCTGAGCCACCACTCTGTTCATTTTTCAGATATATGGAGGGGGAGATCACGTCCACAGGATCTGTTTGTCTTGTGTCTAAATCAGTAGTCTCTTCTCATCAAGGAGAAATATTAAATGCCGCTCTCATAAAACGAAGAGGCGACTAGCAGAAGGAATGTGCAACTTCCAACTTCCTTCAGTACGTTTGCCTTGGTGGGTAAAGTAAGAAATGCCATTTTCACACACCAAAGGTGACGTCCTGTCAGCTTTACTCCTGGTCCCCATCCCCCACGCAGTGCTTCGTGACGTCAACTACAGCGACGCTCAGGAAACCGAGGCTTGGGGAGAGACGCCGCTGTCCGAGGCTCCTGATGATGACAAAGCGGGGACTGGACCCACGTAGGCTCAAGTCAGCGCTCACAATCAGTTCTTTCATGTTTCTTTCTTCCTTTTCTTTCTTTTGGGAAAGTGCTAGGGATTGAACCCTGACCTAAGCAAGCACTTTGCTGCCGAGCTACAACTCCACCCCCTGTTACCAGGCTAGCCTCAAGCTTGTGACCCCCCCTGCCTCAGCCTCCCAAATGGGATTATAAACACGTCCTTCCAGACTTTGCTCGTTTTATTCTTTAGTAACTACCAGATACGCCACCATATCATGATACCTCTCTAAATACTGTATTACATCAAGTCTGTTGTGCTTAACATAGAACCTCATCAAGATACACAGCACTGGCCAGGCGTGGTGGCGCACACCTGTAATCCCACCACTCGGGAGGCTGAGGCAGGATTGTTGCAAGTTTGAGACCAGCCTGGGCTACAAAGTGAGTTCAAGGCCAGCCTGAACTGCATAGTGAGAACCTGTCTCAAAAAGACAAAAAAAAGATGTGCAGCACTGTCAGTTAAAGCTACGAAACGCATTCAATCGGAAGGAATGTCACAACCGCAGAATGTGAAAATGTATGTTTATCCACACCCATGTGCACACACATAAACACACATACAAATACACATGTTAGACTCAATCACACGCAGCAACCTACTGAGCTTGGAGCAAATGATGCCTAATAAAGTCTATAAACACCTCTCTGAATCCTCTAGAAAATTAATTTCTCCATAAAGTACAGAAGAGAGATAAATCTTAAGTATCAGTAAAGTTACAGGAAAGTGCAAACATTTGCTAACCTACACACACTTTAGAAGCCGTCTCCTCATCTGTGGCATTAGGCCGTACTGTTCACAGTGTAAAAAGCTGCTGACGTCTCCCCTCCCCATGAACATGGCCATGACTCACTCGTATTTTCACACATCCTCGTGCAGCAAACAGCAGTACGCACTTTTTTTAGACCATTCCATTAAAAGCAGATTTTAAATCTGCCTGTTTTTCTTAACTTCTGTTTCCTCTAAAAGTGAAGGAAAGAAACAGTAATTTTTCAGTCCACATCGCTGCCTTTGAATGGCCAACTGAAGACGCTTGCTTCTCAGGGCTGCTTCTCCCGCCCCTTAAAAGTGCTCGCGTCGTACGCCCACACGGTGTCTGCCCCGTCTCCAGTGACGTGGGCCGGGGTCCAGTGCGGGAAAGGGAAGCGGCAGGCGATGACTCGCGCGTGGTCCTCAAGCTCAAGTTCAAGTTTCCTCTCCAGCTGCGGCATCTGTGGAGATACCGGCCATTACTGCGCGAAGGATGAAGGAGGGGGTGATTCCAAATGCCCCTCTCTACTGAGGAGTCCCTGAACAGACTGACAAGAAAGATCACTTCATGGCGCAAACACATTACCAAACAACCCGTCACCATACAGAGGAACGTTAACAGCGCTATAATGACATCTTCTGGTGCCAATTATAAAATATGCCACTTTTAGCAGGCTTCCCGTTTCCTGACTAAAATCATGATATGGCAGCAATGGAAATAAGAAAAAGTATTAGATTATTTACCTACTTAACTATCTCACTACACCCTGTCTCATATATGTAAGACACATTTTTAACATTTCTGAAATCAGAATACCACATACAACGGGCAGTGCCTTAGAATTATTACAGGAAGTATTTTGGGTTTTTGCTTTCTTTTTGTTTTTTGTCTTTCTGGGACAGGGTCTCAATATGCAGTTCAGGGTGGCCTTGAGCTCACTTTGTAGCCCAGGCTGGTCTCGAACTTGCAACGATCCTCCTGCCTCAGCCTCCTGAGTGCTAGGATTACACGTGTGTACCACCATGCCCATCCTACAGGTAGTATTTTTTTCTGCCTGAACAGCAACAGTGTATCTTAATATCTAGAGCCCAAATTCTAATTCATCATTACAATCAATACCAGAATAACAAAGGTTAATTTGGTGGAGAGAGAATTTGTATTCTTCTAACAGCCAGTAAAAGACTCTTTTAAAAAAAAATGCATTATTCCTTGAGGGAAACATTAAATAAGCAAAGAATGAGACAATGTGTGTTCTTCTCAAATATTAGAGGTTTCTCATGGCAATTTTGTTCATAAAAAGAATAATTGTAAACTTATTCATATTACCATTATTCTTTTCCCTTTTATAGTTTCATTTATTTCTAAATGATTGTCATATGCTAAGTCAAGATAAACCTAAAAATGAAAGGAGCTATTTCAATCATAAATTAACTGACTAAATTATACATAAATATGCAATGAATCTGATTCTTGATATCATACACAAAGAGAAGCAGTGGTGTGTCATGCCTGTCTAATGGAATTCAAAATTATTCATACAATTATAGGTTTCAAAGTGACACAAACTCATCATAGTCTAATTATAGCTTCAAAACTTAAAACACAAGTTAGAACCGGCTCAAAGGCATGAGATGAGACAAATCAACCAACCCCAGCGTGAGCGGAATCCAGGGTCTCGTGCACACAGTACACGTTAGACAAACGCTCCACCGCTGAGCTACATTCCAAGCCCCCTCCACCACTCCTTACCCTGCCGGCTTGCACTTTGCCTATCAGCTCACGGCAACTTCGAGCGCATTTCTCTCTCTCTCTCTTTCTCCCTCATTCCCTCTCTCCTTCTCTCGCTCTGCGCGCTAATCCTGCTGATTCCATCTCACAATGCACTTGGCTTGACCGCCTCTTGCCCTGGTCCTCACCCACCCTGGTCCAAGCCTCTGCGCCAGTTGGACACCAGGTGCCTAGAGCTCCACAAGGCTCTTACCTGACTCTGACCCCCGCCACCTTCCCACGGGGACACCGTTCACATACGGACACGGCCACCAGGGGCCATGACTCTTCTCAGCCCAGCCTCCTCATTCCCTCAGTCCCTGCGCGCCTCTGCTCTCCCACAGCGGCCACTGCCCCTACAAAGGACAGTGATCTTTAAGACCACAGTTTGCCCCTCTGATGGTCCCCTCCTCTGTGTTGCCCCCACCAGTTCGCTGCTCCCAAAACCCAACCTGCACACCCCACTAGGCACCTCCTTTTCCATTCCTAACAGATCTATAACCAAAATGTTAAATTGGTTGTTCTTTGAGATTATAAAAGTTAATAGTACAGGCCGGGCGTGGTGGCACACGCCTGTAATTCCAGCACGCAGGAGGATCGTTGAGGGTTCAAGACAGCCTGGGCTACAAAGTGAGCTCAAGGCTGGCCTGAACTGCACAGTGAGACACTGTCTCTAAAAGAGAAAAAAAAAAAAAGAAAGTTAATAATACAGACACCCAAGGCTAGTGAGAATTACAAAAACAGAGACAGAATATCTTCACTTCCAAGAACACACAACAAAAGCATTGCTAAATTGTCTTTAAACAATTACAGAAAACATGGTGGTCACACCTGTAATCCCAGCACTCAGAAGGCTGAGACAGGAGGATCGCTGCATCCTGGGCTATGTAGTGAATTCAAGAGCAGCCTGAACTACATAGCCCAGGACCTTGTCTCAAAAAACCAAACAAACAAGCAGAAAAGGAAATAGTAAGACAACGAAGGTCCTAATAGTAAGAGTGAATTCCCCAAGCACTGAAACACCTCACATAAAAACTAATAAAACACGAAAATTCCTTCTCGGAAGGAAGTAAGCTTCCCTCTCTGTGTCAGTCCTCCAGTTACAGCAAATATCTAATTCCACTGACAGTATTACAACCATGACTACAGATCGTGGAAAGTACAAAGGGACCTCTTCCTCCAGTCTGTAAACCAGCAGTTACAGCAGAAGCACCTGCCCTCCTCGTCCTGCCGAAGGCTAGAGGGACCATTTTCCATACAGCTCCGAGGTATTTTCACTTGTGAAAGTACATCATCAAAGTTCAATACTTAGCTCTTCGGCAAATCAGTCAATGGAGGTAAATTGAAACTAGTCAATGCTTATCCACCCTGAAAATTATCTTCCTGCAGAATGGGAGGATCAATTCAAAGGGAACATCCCATTAACTTCTTCGGCGGACTTCGGCTGTGCAGAAGTGAGCAATTGTGAAAACCACAAACCACCGGGACCTCATAAAGCAGTTTTCGAACCGGAATTGTGAAGGCTCAGGGAGATCTTACGGTTTTTATCTGAAAGAAAAGTTTAAAAGCAGGACTGCATCTTTTACAGTGGAGCTCGCCAGGCCCTGAAGTATTTACTAAACCACTGAACTGAAGCCCTACACTCCCAAGCAGGCCCCGGAGCGCCGTCTGCCAGGTGTGGGGCGCGACCTGCAGGTGTGGGAGGGCAGTGGGGCCTGGGGTCCTGCAAGCGGTCACACTCACCATCTGGGGCACCCCGAAGATGACCACGTTCGAGTACTGCGAGAAGGAAACCTAGGTAAGAGCAAAGCAACGAGAGGTTATTCTGAAAACTCAGACTGTAACTTACTGTGTCTCGCAGACATGAGCAGCAGTTTCCCATTTGCCAGTACGGCTTCTAGAGACGCCGAGAGGAACGCTGCGTTCACACTGCCCTTCCCACCAGTCCACACATTAGTTCTCCAGACGCCTCCCTGTAACTCAGCTCTTCCACTCGGGGACTCCACGCGGGGCCCACCCCCGGGACCCTGTGTCAGAAAGGCCAGCAACACCCAGTGACCGCTCTATTCCACACACAAAGAACCAGCTTAGCAAGGGCACACAGCAAAGCCAGGCAGGGCGGTCACGCCTGTAATCCCAGCACTGGGGAGGCTGAGGCAAGAGGATACTTGCAAGTTCAAGGCCAACCTGTGCTAATTAGCGAATTCAAGGCCAGCCTGGAATACACAGTAAGACCCTGTCTCAAAAAAATAAAAACAAAAACTGCCAAGCCACCTGGTTTTTAGTTTTTCAGAGCCACCAGTTTTATGTTGAACCATCCTTAGAATTCTAATCCCCTCTTCTGCTCTAAGTATTTTGTAAAAAGTGCAATGAAATGGTCTTTCAATAGCTGAAAAAGTGGGGGAAAGTGCTTTGCCAGTCAAAATTCCTATTGCCCAATAAAAGTCTTATTTACTCTACAGTGAGATCGTTTAGTTATATATTGTATGAAAAACAATGCAAGTAAAACTCAAGTGAATTTTTATAAGCTACTGATGACACTGTTACAGTGGGAAATTCTTATTTAAGAAAAAAACATTATCATGGAACATTTCTGAAACAAAATTACAGGACTTTTGAGAGCACAAATAAATTCTGAAGTATCTCACACTTTATAAAGGCCAGGATGGCCTGGTCACTTTATACGGACCGGGATGGCCTGGTTAATGGACACTTTCTTTTTCTGTCTCCCATCTCGGTCTCTGTCTGAACACAGACACATGCACACAAGAAAGAAAGAGCTAAGTGCACATTAAGAATAAGTTATATAGGGGCTGGGGATTTAGCTCAGCGTCAAAAGTGCCTGCCTGACAAGCGCAAGGTCGTGAGTTCGGTTCCCGGTACCGGAGAAAAACCAAAAACCAAAAAACAAAACAAAACAAGAATAAGTTATGTAAGATCCTCAGTGAGATGTACAATCTCATTATCTCATAACAAACAAAATAAGAACACTTTCACTTAGTAAATAAATTCACGGCATTCACATGACCTATCACAGTGGTGGCGAACCTTTTAGAGCTTTTAATGATACAGACAGCCCCTGCGGCACACATGCCACCACTGACCTCTCACATCCAAAGCGCTAAGCTTCTACTCTGAAGCTGACCCTGTCTGCACAATCTGTCAGGTTAAAATGTGAACACATTTCACCACGGCAAAATATTCACTTGGACTTTGAATATTTTTCTTTTAATAAAGCTTTCAATTTTCATGAATAATAAAACTTTTGATGGCTGTTACTAGGACCATTCTCCGCCTTACATACCTTCCACAGATCTGAAATATAAAATGTGGCTGAGCCATGCACGCCTTCTCTCCAAGCCCGGTACCTGGAGTACCAAACCAGCCATGGATTCAGTTCATAACCCACCGCTGTGAATCCTTCCTTTGCAGCCGCTATCACCTAAAGTGGGGCCAAGACATACCAAAGAGAAGAAAAATCAATTTACATGGTCAAGTAATATGCATGTTCCCTATTTACAGTTCATAATCTTAACACATCCCATTAAAACGCACATGCTTCATCAGATACATCAATAAAAAACACACGCCGTCCAGAGGAAGGCGGCTCATGGACCAGGTGTGGGCCAGCCCATTAGCCTCAGTTCCCATTCCTGTCAAAGACTTCACCTCGAGCACTGATGGAGACCACTGTGAAGCAGCCTTTTTATGTTCACTTGTGAATCTGTCCAAAGCCAAGGCCGCTTGTCTGGAAGTGGGCGATGGACTCACAGTAAGTGAACCTCTGTGAGTCACTAATCCCTGCTAAAACCTGTAATAGCGGGTAAAGCTGCGAAGCCTCAAAGGATAAAACAAGATCACAGCCAGGGACACTTGGATCCAGATTTCAACTAGATAAAGACTGTAGCTCCAGGCACCTCACTCCTGGGTGGATTAACTTAATCCTTATTAAAGATTAACTTAATACCTTACTTAGAGAAGTCCTTGATTGGTTCTGCCCTTCTTGAGTACTCCCCTCCCTTCTTCTGATAACCAAATAAATACGGGCCACCCAGAGAAGGTCTTGGTCTTAGCTCTAAGAGAATCTCAAATTCTGTGAGAGGGCTTTGATCCTCCTGGGGCCCTGAAATCATTCCACTTGCCTCTTTTGATTTAGTTTTCCCTGTACACCCATTTGGGAGATTAAAGACCTGATCAGCCTGCAGTAACTAAGGGACGTTATTAACCTGATAGAGTATGAAAGTATTTGCATCTCCTTGGGCAGCTGCATGGTTAATTCCGGTTTGGTTAGCACCTGACAGGCCTAACAAGGAGTTGCTGAAAGTCTGCCACGTCTTCCCACCGTGCTGGGCATGGTGGCTCACACTGTAATCCCAACACTCCAGAGCCTGAGGCAGGAGGATCTCTGTGAGTTCAAGGGTAGCCTGGGCTACACAGTGAGACCCTGTCTCAAAAGACCTGTTAGAGAGAACCTGCAAGTAGTTACACATTCCTTGGAACTTAATGACATTTCCTCCAACTTGAAAGCTGGTAAAAGTAAAATGGAAAGCATTTGAATAAAGCCAAGGGGGTCTCCCACCAGCCTTGCAACGATGGGAGGGAAGCTGAGTGGTCCTGGGTCTCCCGACCCATCTGCCTGGCCCCCACCCTGGGTTGTCTCCCTAACATAGGGCCGTGAGAAACCAGAAAGGTATGTTCAAGTATGTGAAGGATTCGAATACGGCCTTACAATTTTCCTCCCACTTAATATATACATCTCCCAATTTCTTAAAAATAAACACTAGTAGTTGTCAGAACTGCAGGGAAGAATGGAATGGAAATTACTGCTTAATAAATTCAGAGTTTCATTGCAAGATGAAAAGAGTTCCAGAGATGAGGGCAGTGATGTTCAAACAATGAGAATGTACTTAGTACCACTTGTGGGGAAGGACATTCTTTAGTTACTCTTTGGTGTGTCGCCTCAGGCCTGACCAAGCCATGATTGTTGGTTCTGGTGGAAGTCTAGCAAAAGCATTGAAAGCCCCAGGGTCAACACTAAATGCTTTGCTGAGATATCCCTAAGGAATGATAACATGATGGCTAATTAATCAAGTCTTATTTATTGTCCTTGCTAAATTGGTTGAGATCTTCCCATTTGCACTGCTGCTTCTTTTCTTCTTTCTGATAGAGTTACTGAAATTGGTGATTGGGGCTGCAGTCCAAGAGAATGTAAACCCCCTGATCCCAGAATTTTACCTCTCTTGGTTTTCTTTTTTTTCTTACTTTCATATTCATCCGCGGGTACCTCCTTCTCAGGACCTGACACCCTAAATAGACACTGGGCTATATCCCTAAAATTGATGAAGGTGGTAAATACTAAAGCCAGGCATGGTGGCACTCGCCTGTAATTCCAGCACTCGGGAGGCTGAGGCAAGAGGATTGCCATGAGTCAAGGCCAGCCTGAGCTACATAATGAGTTCAAAGTCAGCCTAAACTGAATGTGAAGCCCTGTCTCAAAACAAAACAAAACAAAAAATACCACGAGATAGACTTTATGTGTATGTTCCTGCTACAGTGAAAGTGAAGCAACGGTGCCAAACCTCTGATCTTTTGGCTAAGCAGGGGCTCACTGCTGGCTCTTGTTCGCTTTATAATGCCCCATAGAAATTCCAAATATATAAATACAGAGAAGTGTAAAAATAATGAAACTCCATGGCTGAATGTTTCCTCTGATTACACTACCTCTACTGGCCCATGAATTCGAACAGACATTTGATAATTAGTAATGAATTGCTCTATTTTTACCTCGTATATGTACAGAGTACTTTCTCCTTTAAGAAAAAATTAAATCTAAGAAAAGTGAATTCCACACACATGCTGGTGGCCCGACAGGTTAGCCACACTAACACAAAATGGAACGACCACGTTTTCCAGCTGTCGGATTGATTTGGCAGTCCCTATGGAAGCCTTTATTACAGGACACGTAAGGAGAGATTTTAGCAATCTGGATCCAGACTTCAAATGCTCTGGCACCACTCACAACGCGCCCGTCGCCGCTGCCGATGTCCACCAGGGAGCCTCGCCTGAGCCGCAGCATCTTCACCACGTTTTCAATCTGCTTCGCAGTGGCAGGTACAAAAGGCAGACAGACCTTTCGGAGGGCCGGGGTGAGAAACGGCGTGGCCACGGCATACACGGCCACCAGCGCACCGCCGGCAACACCCGTGAGCACGAGCCCCCAGCCGCTCCTCTGCGAGCTGCCCGCTCCCGGCCTCTCCAGGAGGCCGTGTCCAGGCCACCGCTCCCCCTGAAGTCCGTCTGGAGGTGCACCTGCGTCGACAGCAAGCAGAAAACATGAGTGGCGCAAGCTGAGACCGGAGTGCACTTTCCCATGCCCCTGCCTGACAAATACTGCTTCATAAAGGGTGACTTGGCTGAACCCAGTCTCAGTCACCAGGGAAGATTCCACAGTGAGCTCTCAATTCCATGGGCAAAACTCAAACGGTCTGAAGAAAATTACTCCATACAAGGGGAAGAGTGAAATTTTTTTTTCTCTCCAACATACTGATTTTATATGTGTCTCAGAGTCATCCTGGGAACACAACATATTAAAGTCTATCTAGGGGCTGGGGATTTAGCTCAGCGGCAAAAAGCGCCTGCCTGGCAAGCGCAAGGTCGTGAGTTCGGTTCCCGGTACCGGAGAAGAACCTAAAAAAAATAAAAAATAAAAAATAAAAATAAAGTCTATCTAGTGGCTGGGCAGGGTGGCGCACACCTGTTACCCAGCACTCAGGAGGCTGAGGCTCCAGGACCCCTGTGAGCTGGAGGCCCAGCTGGGCTACACCTCAGTACCCTACTTCAAAAAGCCAAAACCAACCAAGCAAACAGAGAAACTTACCTAGTAATTTACTAATTCAGTGTCCATTGTACAAATTGTAACCACAAACGCCCTATTTTTACCTTTTCAATGAAGAAAGCCTCCTGGACAAATAAGGATGAAAATATCTATTGCCCTATTTGTAGTACAATGAAAACTAGATCAAAATTGGCCTGACATCTGTAATTTAGTGGCAGAAGGACAACTTTGAAGTAACAGAAGAAACAAAAGTCAGGTTTTACCAAACTCTTACATAAGTATAGTAATAAAGACACTTGCTACAGCAGATTGAAAAGGAACAAAAACTAAGTCACTTCAGCACTCTCATAGCACCGTGGCGCACACCTGCAATCCCAGCACTCCGGAGGCTGAGGCAGGAGATCATTGCAAATTCCAGACCAGCCTGGGCTACAAAGGGAGCTCAAGGCCAGCCTGAGCTGCATAGTGAGACCCTGTCTGAAAAAAAAAAAAAATCTGCGTGGTGTCAACACTATCACAGGCAGGAATAAAGCGCACAGCATGAGTCACCGACCGCAGAGGGCACGTGGCCGGGCGCCCCGCTCTGACCCTGCGCGTCCTTCCGGGATGGGGAGCGCATCCGGACTTGAAAGCGACTCCGGGGCCAGCACAGGCGCGGACCTGCTCTGCAGAGGCCCCCAGCTGTCAGTCATCCCCACAGCTTCCGCGTGACCCCCAATCCCTTCTCCGCGCTGAACCTCTGCCGCCCCGGGTCAAGGGCGGGTGGTGAAGGCGAAAGGGGTGCGGTACAGCACTCGGGCCGGCCGGGCATCGAGGCAGGGTGCTCTCAGCCGTCAGCACTTACACGGCCCGGGGTCACGCTGAGCCCCACGGGCCCCGGAACCCACAGGCCCCGGACCGTCCCCCCGGGGGCAGCGACCAGCAGCGCAGCCGGCGCGGGGCGAGGCTGGAGCCCAGGAATCCGCGGGGATCAGACCGGGAAGCTGACCTCTGCCTCCTCTGGCATCTCCTGGGGTCACGTTTCCGCCTCCACTGCCTTCACCGGACTCCGCTGGAACACGGCGCACCCCAGCACAGGGTGACTCCCCTCCGACCCTGGTCCGCCTCTCCGGAGGCGCCGTGCTCTCCATCGCACCCGGCCGACCCAGCGCCCGCGGGCGCGGGCGCTCCGAAAACGGGCACGGCGCAGTGGGTCACAGTGCAGGGCAGCCGGCCGCCTCCTGCATCGCAGGCTCAGCGTGGCTTTCGTCTGGACTCCCGCGGACGCGGAAAGGGAGGTTTGAAACTGGTTTCTTCTAACAGAGGATTAAAATCACAATATATACAGAAGGCAAAAACTTGAACATATACCAAAACAAAAGAGCCCAGTCGACAGATGGGCAAATGAACTGAACTCTTTTTCAGACAGTCTCGCTATGCCGTTCAGGCTGGTCTTGAACTCACTGTGTAGCCCAGGCCGGCCTTGAACTCGAAGCAATCTTCCTGCCTCAGCCGCCCAAGTGCTGGGATTACAGGCATGTGCCTCCACGCCTGCCCCAGAAACTTCTTAAAAGAAGTACAAATAGCCATAAAGTATATGACAAAATATTCATCACCTTTAGCCATTAGGGAAATGCAAATCAAACCTCCACTGAGATTCTATCTCACCCAGGCAGCATGACTACTGTCAAGAATATACAGATAATAAACGCTGATGAGGACGTGGGAGGCAAGGAACACTTAAAGAAGCCTCTGCACTGATGGCGGGAATAGTTAGTACAGCCACTATGGAAGTCAGTGTGGAGGTTCCTCAAAACACAAAATACAACTGCCGCAAGCCCAGCTGCCCCAGTCCCTGGTATAGATCGAAGGAAGGAAGGTCAGCGTAATGCAGCGATCCCCGCACACCCGTGTCTACTGCAGCCCAGTCACAACTGCCAGATCCAGACAGCCCAGGTGCCCATCGACAGAGGAATGGATCGGGAAAATGAGGTACAGACAGACACTGGAATACTAGTGTACCAAAAGAAGAGCACAATTGTGTCATTTGCAGGAAAATGGACGGAACTGGAAATAATCATGTTATGATAAACCAGACTCAGTAAGGGAAGCATCACGTTTTCCCTAACACATGAAATCTTAAAAAAAAAAAGAAGAAGAAGACAGGAAAGTAGAAAGCGGGAAGAAGACTATTAGAATGAGAACGAAGGTAGAGAAGAGGGGAGGCAGGGGAGGATACGGAACCCCTGCGTTACGCTGACTTTAGTTCCTTCGGGTCTGTACCGAGGACTGGGGCAGCTGGGCGTATGGCGGGGTGTGATCCTACGGCGGGGGAGATCAAAACATGTTACGTGTGTGTATGAGAAAGACCACACTGACACCCAGGATTGATTTTTAAAAACTGGTTTCACAGTGAAAACCCAACTAGAGAGGGAAAAAAAGGTCTGCTACAAGGGCTAGTGATAGAGGTAAAATAAAATCAGGCAAACGTGGCAAATGACGCTTGACAGAAATCCAAAGTTCTAAATCACCTCGGCAGGGACTCTGGCCCCGCTCGGAGGAGCCCGTATGGGATGTGGGCACATTTGCTCCCCTTACGCTCCGCCCCGTGGGGACCCCAGCGGCACACCCGTGCTAGGAGGACTTGGGCCACACGCTGCCGGCGTCTCAGAGCCTCAACCAGCTGTTTACAGCTAAACTAAAGCTTTTACTTGGTAAGCTTTTCCTAAGGCATAGTTTGCTCACCAGCAAGATGTAGAAATAATTTTAGATAGTTATAATTAAATAACACAATTATTAATGATTATATATCTTACCACAATTTGAAAAATGTTTAAAAGATGTAGCAATCCCACCCTCAATACTAGACACATAAAAGCCACTTGGCCCAGCCCTGGGAAACCAAGGAATAACTAGTAACGGCTATGGTCCTTCCCAAGGCTATCAGTTTGGAGAGGAGCTCGACTTTTAAGCTTTCTTGAGGTATAATGCATGCACACACAAGGCACACTGCCAGTTCAGTGCTCACCATATTCACAGATGTGTACTACTGCCAATTCCAGAACATTTTCATGCCCTCTAGAAGCCTCTGTCCTTTAGCAATCACCTACCCACCCACGCTCCACCCAAACTCCGCCCCCAGCCCTAAATAAGCACTAACCTACTTTTTCTCTCTAGAGCCCCTTATTCTAAGCTTAGAGGAATGGAAGAAAACTGTACATGGTCTTTTATGGCCAACTTCTTTCACTTGCCATAATGTCCTCCATTCGTGTGTGTGTGTGTGTGTGTGTGTGCGTGTGTGTATGTGTGCGTGTGTGTATGTGTGCGCGTGCGCGCGCGCGCGCGCGTTACTAGGGACTGAACCCAGAGGCTCTATCTCTGAGCTACATTTACATTCCTAAGCCTTTCTTAAAATTTTATATTGAGACAAGGTCTCATTAGGTTGCTGAGGCCGGGCTCAAACTTGCAATCCTGCCTCAGCCTCCCAAGGGGCTGGGATTGCAGAAGCACCCCCACTGCACCCAGCTCCAGGTTATACCTTGTATCGGTACTGTATTTCTTTTTATGACTGAATGGATATGTGACTGTTTGAAGTCCATTTGTGCACTGACAGGTTCACAAGTTAGGTGCTCCTAATTTCCCCTGCATAACCATGGACGCTTCCATTGCAGCAGACACTGGCCAGCTGTGAGGAATGCGCTAGCAGGCAGGAGACTGTAGATGTCAGACACGGGGAATACAAAGATGGAGAAGGAAGGCTGAGTCCAACAATGGGACCGGCAGGCACTGGCAGAGATGGAATCTGAGCGGGGGCAGAATAAGCCTGGGAACTGCAGCCTGGTGGTGAGGAGCCCTTTACTGAGCAGAGGGGCAAATTAACAGGAAGGCAGGTCCCGTGCTGGGCGTGGTGGCGCACGCCTGTAATCCCAGCACTTGGGAGGCTGAGACAGGAGGATCACTGTGAGTTCGAGACCAGCCTGGGCTACAAAGTGAGCTCAAGGCCAGCCTGAACTGCATAGCACAACCCTGTCCCAAAAACACCAAAAAAAAAAAAAAAATCAGGAAGGCAGGTCTCTTAATACCAGGATGTGTGCATTTTATTCTGTGTACACAAGGACAAAATGAAGCTACATTATTTACGTTTTTAGGGAAAATAATACCAGCAGCAACGTATCCCCTGACAAAAACCACCAAATTTTCCTTCTCAGGTTTTTATGCCTGCAAATTTCCACACAAAGATTTGTAAGCAGAAAACAATATCCACGCCCCTCATCTTGCTTTTTGAAATGTTACTATGGAAATCCAGTGCAACTATATTAGTGTGTTCAATGAAAGATGTATTTTTTATCAGTGAAAACCACTCGCTGAAAATTCAAACTTAAAATCAAGAGTATTTCAATAAATCCTTTCAATGGGCTATTGTTTAGGTTTGCAAGGTTATTTACTATAATGTAAATAAATGGTAAGAGATTGCTGTCAGATGTGCTCTTTGGAACAGCAAGCCATTCTACTAAATAAGAGCTGCGGTGCCCACTGACCCCTTAGGAATCCATTCTTGAAAGTTAAAACTGCACAAGGTTAACTTCTACTACTCTACTGTCGTCTCCAGGCGCTGCCTCTGCTTCTCAGATGGGCTGAAAACTACAATTTCCCAGGACAGACTTGGATCGGCTAAAGGCAGAGGCAGATGTATCAAGATGCACAAAACAGTACTCAGGGTTCCTACTCATTTCAAGTGGAAAAGGCAGGATTAAAGAACTGGCCCACCGGGGACTGTCACCAGGAACATGGTTAAAGTGGGGTTTGTATTTGCAAGTCAGTATTTGAGGGCTATTCGCTGTGCTCTTGAATATGCGTACTAATTTAACAACTGCACAATGTGTCCCTTGAGAAGCCTTCTTATTCTGGTCTAGCATCATCTGGGTCCTTTGCGCTATTAGGAAAAATCACACACGTACGCAGTGTTCCTGGGGTTTTTTTTGTTTCCGTTTTTTTTTTTTCCTTTTGGTTTCCTGAGATGGGGTCTCACTACCTAGCGCAGCTAGCCTCAGCGATGTCCCTGCCTCAGTCTCTAGCACGCTGCCATTACAGGCATGCACCACCGCACCCAGCACACAGTGTTTTGACAGGAAAGGCACTTCACAGAGGATGCCATTAGACATTTTCTATTTTTCATAGCGAGCTACTGAGCAAAATGGTTGCAAGACTCACCATTCTGAATAAGGAAAAGCCGACTCAGCAAAGCAGAAATGAGTGAAATGAGCCCCAACTAGAGAATCTAAAATGCCCTTGGACTCATGCGCCAGCATTTCACTATTCTATACCAACACATGCCCAAAACAAAAATCCCTTAAGAAATCATACATAAAATGCTCCTGGAGCCTCACTCTGAATCTGGTGAGGCAGTGGGCCGAACATTGGCAGAGCACAGTGAAAACGGTCACTGATCATCCAATGACAAATTCAATTCTTGGTCCTCAGGCCAAGGCTAAACAAACTACATGCAAACATGTCAACATTTATTGAGTACCTAATAAAAACTGGGAATAAGACAGCAATTGGGGTGAGGAGGCTGTAAACTCACAAGTAAAACTAAGTAAGGTACTCATTAGTTTGGTTACCAGAAAACACCTTTCTGAGGCAGAACACAGGGGTTAAGACACCAGTCGGAAATGGTGGCACACGCCCACAGACCCCATTCTTCATGAGGCTGAGGCAGGCAAGTTCCTGCCAACATGAACTACAAAGCAAGGCCATGTATTATTTAAAAAAAAAAAAAAAAAAAAGCTGCCTGTGGTGGCACACACCTGTAGCCTGTAGTTTCAGCGTTCTAGGAGACTGAGGCAGGAGGATCAAAACTTGGCAACTCAGCGACCCAATCGTAAAATTTAAAAATACAAAAAGGGCTGGGGATGTAGCTCAGTGCAAACGTCCTTGGTTCAATCCCCAATGATGCCGCGAAAACAAACACACAAACAAAAAAAAAGCCCGGCGCGGTGGCGCACGCCTGTAATCCCAGCACTCAGGACGCTGAGGCAGGAGGATCGTTGCGAGTTCAAGACCAGCCTGGGCTACAAAGTGAGCTCGAGGCCAGCCTGAACCCCACCCGCACAGCGAGACCGTCTCAAAAAGACAGGGGAAAAAAAAGTGGGGACCAGTGAGACCTAGAGCAGTAGGCTGTGTAATTTGTCTCCTACTGTCTGTATAACCTTGGGCACGTTACTGGATTATTCGTGCAAATGAGGGGTTCAACAAACACCTAAAACACTAGGTGCGGAAGACCAGGCACTGTTCTCCCTGGCTCCTTACAACAGCCCCGTACGTGGACACCCCTGCTATTACAGCCAGTTCTACAGACAACAAAGCTGAGGCCCAAAAAGGCTAAGTATCTTCCCGGAGACGCAGCGAGGAAGTGGCCGAGCTGTGACTGCGG